CCCCTTGAAACTTGGCGGGCTTTGTGGCCCCAGCAGGGGCTACCCCCCCTGCAGTTTTCATCTGCCCCCCCCCCGGTGGTGTAACACATACACATGACATGAGTTTTGCTTTCAAGAATTTGGGGTACAAAAGTGCTTTGGAAAGCCTAAAGCAGCCAGCGCTTCTATCCGGATATGCTGCTTTGGTGTCCGAAGCATTGGAATCTTCTCTGGATCCGAAGCGTGGTCCGAAGCCTCACACAGCCCTACTCCTTAGTTAAACCAGCCTGAGCTAGAGACAATTGAGGTGCTAGTGCTATTTATAAGAGCTAAGTTTCTCTTGCAAGTGGAGCTATGGGATTTGATCACCTACCAGGCATCTTCATCTCTGTGATTCAGTCATTCAGATAGGATTTAAAATATGCCAAAGGAATAGCTGAACCCTGGGAAAGCATCTCTGCAGCACAGTGGTGGTTTCATCCATTCAGCATCTGAGGATGTGTTCAGGATCTTATGCAACTCTGCAATTAATATATGTTTGCTAAAGGCCAATAAGGATGCTGAGGTGTTTGGCATGAGAGACTCAGTGAGCTATTCATGAGATTTGAAGTCTAGCCCTGAAATCCCTACAGATTTTTCAGAAAAACATCACTAGGTCTCAATTCACCTCTTCAGCCCATACACCATCAAAAATCTCTCATAATAGGCAACCCAGAGTCCTGTTCACCTGAACTAAATCATAGTGGCCTAAAGTAGTCATCTCTCTCTGGTACTTCAGACATGCGAACTGCCAGAGGCCCTTGAACTGGCTCGCAAAGTTACCATGCTATCTGTTGTGCTAATTTGCCATCTCCAGCTCACAAGGGTGTCACTTCATAGCTACAGTTCTTTGTATAAGTTACACCTTTTATTTTCTACCATCAGATCACAAATCCCCCTTCAAAACTGCAAAACTGAAAAGGTTCTACCAGGCTTTCCCTCTTTCCCAGCAGATGGCTCATTCTGGCCTGGGCAATCAGTTTGCTTTATCATAGGCAAAACATTGTGGGCGGATTCCCAGCCTTTTTCCAGTCCCTCTAAAAGCCCCATTTCCAGACAAGGGAAGAGTCCTCTTCAGGCAGGACATCAGGAAGGTAGTTTTGGAGCTTTCCCCTAAACACCTCCTTGCAAAGCTTGGTGTTTGCCTGAGTCACTCTTCCCATGCCATGTAAAGGATGCTGGTAGTGTAGTCCTGGAAGTAGCTATGACTTAGACATAGCTTTTGAAACATCTATTAATCGTATAGGTAACACTTTTTTCTTCTTTAAAGCTGGGTGTTGTGGCTGTAGAGTTCTTGCACTTGCCCAAGTTCTATTCTGAGCTGGGCCGGGCTGGTTATGTGGTGTGTTTTCTTATATTAAGTATCCCATGCTTCCCTTTTCTGTCTGTAACGTGAACCTGCCATCCTTTGTAAAGTACTTTGAACACAGTAGATGAAAATCACCATGCGAGAGCTAACACTAACAATGCTAACTATTAAAACTCTTTGGAATGAGTCCCACAAAATAAAGCAAGGCTGAAATAATTATCTTGTTCCATCAGTGCAATGAGGCAGCAAGCTGTGCATGTTTCTCTGTTTCACCTGAGCTCTTTTCTTGAACAGGCACTTTCATGCTCAGCTCATGAAAAATACAGTAAAACTGTAGAGCAAGTAACTTTAAAGCCATAATAACGCTTTAGGACTTCTGTCCTCCAGTTATGCTCCAAGCTGCATACAAAGACAGGTGCCTCTTAAAGCCCACTTCATATTGTGCTTCCTTCTACTACTCAGACAATTGCTTTAATGCCTTTGACGACAATTCTTCCTAGGTGGTCTCATGGTACTTGATGTGGCTCATAGACTGCACGCTGTAGCATCAATTGCTTTTGTTGGGATGGTGTTTAAGCAAGCCCTTCCATTTTTTAACAAAGCCTGTAGATTTGTCAGGAGGGATGACATTTTCAGGGGGCTTCTGAATGACATAGAGCCAGATTTGTAAAAGTATTGAGGTGCCTGCAGCTGCCTCAAGCATAGGCCTTTTGCCATTCCTGATAATGAGATTGATGTTACCAAGTCTACTAGACCCTCAAAGGGATTTAGGGCCCTTTAAAGTAAATGGAAATCAGGTTCCTAACTCCCTTTAGGGATATGCCCCATGGGCTCTTATGTGAATTAGAGAGGTACAATGTGTGAGTTGGTATAAACCAGCATGGGTCCATTTATCTGACTGAAGGTCATGCTGACTTAAACCCACCAAAGATCTGGCCTGCTAGTTTTGTGATAAAACATATTTTCTGCTGCAGCCTCTGGTTGTGTCCCAATGTCATCTGCATTCTACCCAAGCATAGACCCTTTTTTCAAAATGCAGGAGACATCCACAACTTCACTGCCTTGCACTGACATGATGCATTGCTTTGTAAACAGGGACTTAAACAACCAGGGTCTTAAATCCATAAACAGATCAGGGCTTGGCAACGCTTTGAAAATGTCTTTTCCAAACAGAATACGTTGGCACATACACAAAGATACTCTTGTCTGATTTGTTCACATTCTTTCTGACATTACTCAAGATATTATGAGCCCCCTAAGGCTTATTTTCTTTAAAATAATAACAACAAATTTGAAAGCTGCTGTGTGTAAAAGCGATGTGTCTAAAATATATTGCTTTTTTAACCTCCGCATTTCTTTCAAGGTAGCATCTTTTTTTTTCTTTGATAAATTATCATAACCTCTTTGCTTTTGAAACTCGCCTGTTAAGCTGTTCCACAAATGTAATATCCTTTGTGAGACACCTCAGCATTTGTTTGTCTTTTATTTCCATTTGTGTCCCTGGCTTGGCTAAAAAGAGTAACTGTGGGTGACATTATCCCATTTAACAGCATAAGTAAAGTACATATATTTCAGTTCATCTCCTTTCAAAAGGCTCCCTCCCCCCACCACAGTACAGTTACATTTTTCTGCTCTTGCCTTTTAATGAAGAGCCAAAGTCATGGCTGTAACACTAAAAAAA